TGAACCTTTCAGATGCTTGGGAACAGGACGTGAGGGTCACTTTGCGGGCCAATATCAATGCGAGCATGATGCGAGTTCTCAGAGGCGATGGGTCGAACGCAGGCGTACACGGCGGACGAGTCGCTTCCGAGTTGCTTCCGAGTCGCCAGTCGAACGTGGTCACGCGACCATTGCTAGTCGTGAGTTGCCGCGGTGATGTAACGGTGCTCGGCTGCTGACCCGAAGGTCGCGGGTTCGACCTCGCATTTCGTTCGAGGGGAAATGCTGGAGGCCCGTGCACTTCGAAGCACCTCGGGTAATTTTCGGAGCTCTCCACTGTACGGTCATAATCTGGCACGATCATAATCATAAGCTGTCAAAGGGACTCTTGAGAAGCGCAAACTTTGGGGGCGAAGGAATGCGGCACACAAGGCTGGAAAAGCGCTCACGGAGCATCGAGTGCGCTTGACAATGACTCGGCTGTTTATTCGCTTCCTTTAACATGTGGCAGCAGATATGTGGGACAGACCGGGCGCGTCTCAGGGAGGACGCGTGTACAATGTCAAGGTCACGTGACGCACTGCCGAAGCTGTAGTTGTACATCATGATTGCAAAAACATGTGAAGTACTTTCACTTCTGCCAACCAAAAAAATGTGAGGAATGGTTGAAGCAGCTGAGTTGGCCAAGGATGGTAGCCAGTGCATTAGCGTGCATTCCATTGCAGCGTCAAAAAAAAAAAAAAAAGAATTTCAATTTTAGGTGTACCGCCTTATAGTGCCTTGTGATTTCATACCTTTCATGTTTATGCCCCGCCGCGGTGGTCTAGTGGCTAAGGTACTCGGCCGCTGATCCGCAGGTCGCAGGATCGAATCCCGGCTGCGGCGGCTGCATTTTCGATGGAGGTGAAAATTCTGTAGGCCCGTGTGCTCAGATTTGGGTGCACGTTAAAGAACTCCAGGTGGTCGAAATTTCCGGAGCCCTCCACTACGGCGTCTCTCATAATCACATGGTGGTTCTGGGACGTTAAATCGCACATATCAATCAACTTTCGTGTTTATATATTTTTACGTAACTGTTGATGAGCTTTTCACTTTGGGGAGTCGTTGTTTTGTATAAATGTGAAGTCGCGCGGTTATTATTTCTCGATAAAAATTTAGTCACAGTTTAGCGTCTCTCTCGTCATTGAAGTTCGCGCTAATGGAGTGCCCTAACATAGTAAAACGATGAATTTATCTAGATTGAAAATGTGTTCTCTGAGAACTGTAATGTTGTTAATATTATCAGCATCAGTTCATTATTAGAGGGACATATCAAGGTCAAAGTACTATATTTGTTTCGCGCCGACACCTGCGTATGTGACATCACTAATTTCAAAGCGGGGGATGTCACGAAATTGGCTCAGATCCCGAAACTTGTTATTTTGAGGCTCTGGCTCTATCAGCAGACATTGTGTTTCATTTGTACCTAAGACGAGCTTAGTGAACAGTGTCAAAATTTATGACGTCCAAAAATTTGGCGTCGCCACCCACATTTTCTTTTTGCGTGTTTTCTCGCTTACCAAGTGTCTTCTCGCGGTGAGCGATTGTGTAAGGGTACTTTACTAATAAAAGAAAATTTGTTTTTGTTTTCTCTTTAGATGTCCTTTTAACGCCAACTGAGAGGTCCACTGTGTCGGAAGAAAAGGTACGCCACAAAACTTGTCTGCGCATGCTCAGATACGCTAGCACCATCTATCGGCGGGGCACATGCGCAGGTATACGTGCGAACCAACTGTTCGACCATTTCATTCCTTCTTTATACGCTAGGCAATCTGTGGCTGTCTCATCCTGTGCCACTTTCAGGGGATATATCCGGCGTTTGTGTTGGCTGACTATCACTTGTTGCATCAATGTCACCACACCTCATAGTTCCTCCCGTGGTGTATTAATTCGTCCGTTGCCCTCTTTACTTTTTGCAAGCATATCTGCTTTCAATATCAGTTATTTGTACATCAAACGGTGGAATAAAAAGCAATTGTAACGAACAGTTCTAGCATAATTTATTTTCAAAGCAGGTGCCGTAAAGGAAAAGAAGCAAACAAACATGAGACAAGTTTTACTATACAGAAGACCGACAGCGATTTATCAAACAGCTACAATTTCTTATCCGGTTTTTTAAGAAGAACGAGCAGCAAAGCGTGCAGTCTAAAAAATAGATAAGCACTGATGTCTACGTCACCGTATCACGCATAAACGTCAATAAGGCTCGAAGTTGTTTAGATGTGAGGAACATTGTGCACGCATAATTATATCATAGTGCGCATGTAATTCGCATAAAAAAGTGCGTGAAGACAGGTAGAGGCGCCTTGTCTGCCCGAAGGAACATTCAGCCAAAAGTTTAAAATAGGAACAATCAACGAGCGAACGGTAAAAGGCGATACAATCATGTCACTGATGGCACGTTTTGGGTTCGCGACACAATTCACAAAACAAGAATAAGTTAGGCGAGATGGGGATCAAGTGGTATCCTTGATCTACAGCAGATGGGTTGATGAAGTGAAACGTGACGTACATGCTTCTCAACATACGAGGCATGCGTAGTAGCTTTGGTTTGTTGAATCTGGCATGAAGTGGTCTGTACGAAGTTGCCATCAATGTGTCGCGTGACCCAAACTTAAGCAGTTCTCATTGTACAATGTGTTAAGAGACACTAAAGAACAATGACCTGGTTTATATTGGCAAAATGCACTCTGAGAACTATAATACCATATTTTCACAATCACAAGTTCATTATTAACGGAGAAGATCAAGGTTGAAGTTTCATTTTTAAATTTGACGCCAAGATCTCCGCGAGTGACTTCCGACGTTTCAGAATGGATACTTTGTATATTTCGTATTATTGTGACGTTGGAGTGATGAAATTTTTCGAAATTTCATGTGCTAGGTCATTGGCACTCGCAAATAACAATGCATTTCATTTTTTATTGATCAGAAACTACTTGGGATCCAGCCTTCAAAATTTATGACGTCACTGTGTTTAGTGCGGCAGTCTCGAAGTGGCGTCTCCACTTTCTTTTCATGCGTTTTATCGCTTACCAAGCGTTTTCAGGATTGTGAAATTATACTTTACTAATACGCGAAAAGTGTTTTGCTCTTTAATGTCCCTACAATATTCTCCAAACAGCTTTCTTGGATTACTCAGCAGTGCTTATTTTCATACAATAAAACTAATATTTCAATACAAATAAATGTTCTACTCCACGTAACAACAGTGTCAAAAAATTTGCATAGCAAATTTCCTCAAATTATGTATCTACTGCAAGGTTTCTAAAAAAAATATTGCATGTACATTTATGGCATATACCTGATGCCACAATATATGACGTCGTTTGTTTCATTCAGTACGCAGTTTATACTTTGTTCACGCATTACTTGAGCGTGATGTCGTTGTGAGCATGATCGTCACAACTATGACCTTACACTTCAGGCACTCGTGATTTGTCACAGAAAGTCCGAAAGGCCATAGATCACTCCTGCACGAAGAAACTGAACATTTTCGCCAATGAGGCCAACGGTGCTTGATTCCAGGGCATTTGAAGAGTGTATAATGAAAAGGGAGTCGTATGCCTTTTATTTTTCTCGGGAGGCAGGCACTCGGTCGTGTATTGCATGCTGCTAAAGAGAGAGAACGATAAATGAAAACGACTACCAATGAATCGGAAGAACATTTACAAGACACAGTTGAATGACCATACTGAATATGTACATAGTATAATCTTAATATTAATAATCAAAATAAATTAACTCGCATGCATCCGAGTAATGATATACTGCACTGCGTTGAATGGGTCTATCGAACTGCGCCAGTCAGTTCGCGTCCACTTATACGTGTACTCGAAGCATTCCTCACATTGTGCGATGGCTGCGGGTTATTACGAACAGGGAATAGCAACAAGTCATCGAACACGAAGACGATTTGATTCTATTGCAGCGCGAACACTGGGCTCAGCGAGCAGCGATGCTTTCGGACTTCACCGCTGAGCTAGGAAGTCCACTTCTCGGCAAGCACAGGTGAGTTCGCAACATTTGCTCGCAACAAAACATGTCGCCAGCCGCTACGTCAATCATCTACCCTCTTTGTGTGCTACTCGGTCATCTTCACTTTTATTTTTTATGCTACATTCGACTGGTCGTTTGGGAGAGCTCCGATTGCGTTTGAAAGGGTTGATTTTGACAGATTCAAAGCTCTTTGACGAGAGCAAAGAAGTGTGCAAAATATTTGTATTCTCCCTGATCATGCTTTTATGCGATAATGTTACGGTAGCAACATTTAGTTGTTATTTTACGTAACGTCTTAGCGCATGTAGCAATGCAGCTTTAATCTGCATGTGTAGATCGTCATTTCCCAACGTCGCCAAACATATGTCTATGAACAAGGGGAGGGAGAATGATTAGCACAGGCCCATATAAGGTGTCATGGTGTAGCATGGAAATCGCTATATATCCGCGCATGCTGCTAAAGTCTGTCTACAAGTATCTGCTCAATCCTGAGATCTGGTCTATATTGGCGGAAATGGGCTCTCGAAAACGAATCGGGATATGTATTTCAATTTGTGGATCGAAAAAAAAAATGTTATGACGCAAGCTAAGGAGTTGATGAAAAATAGGAGTATTTAAAACATTTTAATGCTACAATGTACATCTAAAAAAGGATTCATTTTAGTCTCTTGAACGATAAAGAATTTTTATGGGACACAAATTACTTTTTTGATTGTTCTTTGTTTCTTTTTGCGTAAAGATTGCGATGTATGTAGGATTGACATTACGTGAAGAAATTCAATCTTGTACATTCTGCACAAAAGAAATGCCAAATGTTATTCGCATGCACTTTGCTCTCTGAATATATGAAGAAATGCCAAGTGTCACCACTTGGCATTTCAATGATATATATATATATATATATATATATATATATATATATATATATATATATATATATATATATATGTGTGTGTGTGTGTGTGTGTGTGTGTGTGTGTTTGTTTGTATATGTGTGTGTGTGTTACGGAGCTCTTTATGCATAAACATTGTTTGATATTGGCCGGCTAATAATGCTTCCGATATGCAGATTGGCTAGCATCTACTCTAAAAAGGAATTCTATCTTAAGGGCTTTTTTTTATGCGTATGCGGCGACGCTGTTTGTTTCAACAAAACTCATCCGGACTTGTTGAATGAAAAAAAAAAAAACATCGGTCACGACGCGCGCCTTCTGAGCATGCCAAGTGGTGGCGTGCTCCCAAATAAGTTACGCCTTTCCGCAAAATTGGGTCCTCCTATATAAATATGCTGGTAATAAACAGATGGCACATCATTCCCCCATGCTTCACAATTTGTAACACAAGTGCACGGCAAGCGAAGGGGAAGAAGAAGAAAGCAGTTTTCAATCTTCCTGGGAAGCACCCCCTTCACAATTTACCCCACTTGGTCCATTATAAACACAAACTGTCACCAATTCCTTGTCACACGATGTGCATCGGCACATGCCACAACAGCTCACCGGCCAGGTCTGTCGACAACAATCGCGCGCATGGACGAAAACAGTCTTGGTAACATAAAGCTTGTAAACGAAGGTGCACGCCAAGAAGCGGCTTTCCACTTTCAAGCTGTTCCACCAGGACAGGCGATGGAGATCCACAAGTTCAGAACACGTCACCGTCACATGGAGTCGTATCTGGAGGTCGCGGTGACAAGGAGACCAGAAGAGCAAGGCGACAAGCGCATGCGCCTATTCCACAACGGGCCGTCTAGGCGCAGCCTTTGAACTCAATCAAGGAGCCCCTTCATGCGCCCACCAGTCCACACCAGAGAGAACTTTACAACATCTGTACTGACCCAGCTTCGGTCATCCACCATAATTACATGAGCTAGTTAAGCCACGCGTCAAATGCGTCTGATGGGTCTTAGCTAGCATGCGCGCAGCTAACAAGTGGCATGGACGTGTGTAGTAACTTTCATGTAAAGCACTCTGAAGACTCGGCAGGCCATCGTCCTCCCGTGTCTGGCATTGGCGGGTCGTTTCACAGGCACGTATGGACGGTGCGGCGAACCTTGCACACCTTGCACTTGACCTGACAGCACCAATGGAACGTGCAGGCGCAGCGCTCCAAGTCCTCGCGGACCTCGGTCCGGTGACCGCGGCCGCAGCACATGAGCTCGCAGCCGTCCACGCCGGCCGACGACTCGTTGCAGTGACGGCCCCGCGTGCCGTGCACGCCGAGCCGAGCGTTGGGCACGCAGAAGTCGGGCGAGTTCTCGAAATACACAAGGTCCTTGCGCGACGGCGGCCTGTGGTCCGGGTAGAAGGGCTTCAAGTGGAACGAGCGCGGCTGCCCCTTGCGCCGGCGGCCCCGGAAGCCCCGGATGTTGCCCTGGTTGCTGAGCAGCACCCGCGATGCGCCGTCGAAGCGTTCCTTCAGCTGGTTGCCCACGTCACGGAACAACGGAAGCCGCATCCAGCAGGTCTTCACCGTGCAGCTGCCGGACATGCCGTGACACTTGCACTCGCGCCGCGTCTCGGTCGTCACCTGCTGTAAAGCGAGGAAACAGATCGACAGTCAGGAAAATGTTGAGGGAATAAACGACATTGCATCGTATGCAGTCCCACGCAGGCAGCGCATTGACGTATTCGTGGAGGGCAGCAACTAACCATTGTGTTTAAGCCAGGTTGAAGACGTGGCCCTGGTAAGGCTCAGAAGGACCTCGCCACCACGCATACGTCTAAACAAAAGCTGAATAGGCCGTATGTTTGTGAACTTTAATGTACAGAAAACATATGAGACTGAGCGGTGCACCTCTACTAATCTTGAAGGCAATGTCTCACGGACAAGGCCGACATGTGAGTTTGCCACTGTTGAAGACATTGCAGTTTCGGTTTCTTTTTTTTCCTTATTTTGTGAACCATTCGTACTTCATCTGTTATTAGATACAGCATTCAATTATGATAATCTGCACTCGCTTTTAAAGATATATGCCATTGCGTCATTTATCAGGCACTTTTTCATAGCATTCATGGTGTCATTGGGTTCATTAACTTCCCAGCATGTTCACAAAGTGCTTGCCGATCGGAAAATGCAGTTACTACATCAAGTAAACGCATTGCATCATTACCATCCGAAAGATAACTTTTTAAACCCATGTGTGGGACAGGTTACACCACAATAGGATAAATAGTTAAACAAGTTATATTGAATGAATCAGGCAATGAATGAGGGAAGCTCGTTTATTTGTCTCGTTCGCTTTTATAAATGGAAGTGAACCAGGAATTTCGTAATCATGTAGCCACAAAGCGGTAAATACACTGGCCCATGCATGAAAAAGCTCGTGTCTTTTTTTCCTAATACCTCTTTTTGGGGGGAGGGGGGGCGAGAGAAGATCTGCTCCACGCTCCACCATGGCCTTCATCGAACACCCGATTCACCTCCTCCGTATACAGAGCAGTCAGGTGAAGTGCCCACCTTGTACAGTTCCTCAAAACTAGCTTCGACATGCTCGGAATGCCAAACCGGCAGCGCCCATATGCTCTCATTGCGATAAGGTAAAAGCGATGATGTTCGCTGCAGGCGGCCAGACTTGTCTTATTCATCGGACATAGCACACCACAACGCGTCCAGACTACGAACGGTCAAGAAGGGCCATTCTGAAAGTGCGTTACGACGCAATGTATACCTGACGCAAGCTGTGGCACAGAAAAAGGGAGAAAAGAAAAAGCGGATAGGCGTCGTGTGCATCCGTTTCTCGTGCATCGCATCAATCACGACAGGGGAAGGAGGGCGCCCTGACGGCCAGTGTTTCGCCACTATCAGTCATACAGCCGGCCATTAACGAAGTTCGGGTCGCGAGGTGACGCTTCCTCGATAAAAGAAAACGCGAATGGGACAAACGCTGACACCGGCTCGACACAACCGAAGAGCTGTTTTGTCAAGTTAGCCCTGTAAGGGGGTCTCCGGAGACCCATAAGGTCCCCCACGAAGAGCGTGACTCCGCCACTTAGTTATCTCACAGTCCAAGCGGCCTTCCTCTCGTTCGCTCCTCGCATTCCAAGGTGAACGAAAATGAGAGAAGGAAAACAATTAATGGACACAGAAGGAAGAACCAAGAAAGTCGGCGACAACACGTCGCAGCAGAAGAAGACGCATTACTCCCACCCACACAACCACTTACGCAACGCTTGTCATCGACTACAAGATGACCGCAGAGGGGTACAGCAGGATGGAGGGATGCAGCTACAAGTTCTCTGTACAAGGAAAGGTCAGTGACAGCTCCTCCCAGGAATGAAAGATAAAAGAAAGAGCAAAGGTGACGGCAAAGACAAGACAAAAAGAAAATGGAACGTCTGCGTATGGCATTCCTTTCGCTTGCAACCCCCCCCCCCCCCCTCTCTCCCCGAAATCACCCGCGTTCCCTTCGCATCTTGTGCCCTCCACCCCGATGCGTTCCTTGCGAGTCTTACCGTCCATCGCGAAAGCTGAGAAAGGTGACCTCCTCTACCTCAAACGGATCTCAGTGATGGCGCCTAGGCCCACATGCGCGCACCAAAATACAGCACCGCGAACTCAATACTGCCGAGTCCAACAGCCACGTCTCAGCGTTCCCTTCACCTACAGTTTATTTCGTGTGGTCTGCACTGTCTCTTTTCTTCCTCACCCACATTGCGGCCAGCCACCGTGTCGATAGAGTCTCTTCAATTTAGCGACTCCGTGTCGTGCGAGGGAGAGTAGCAACCTGGCGAACGACGACGAAGGACCAAACCTGGGGAGTCAGCAAAACAAGACCGAGTGTTTCTCCCCGCTGCTACCTCATACAGGAAAAAAAAAAGTTAGAAAGAGCGCTGTCAGGTGCGTGTAGGAGAACCAGAAAGACGAAATATTAAAGACCGCGAAAAGTCCTGAGTGAAGAGGAAAGAAGAAAGGGGAAGAGAGTCCAAAGACGGGCCTCGATGCGAGTGGGCAAGAGCCACCCGGGAGCAGGATTTCGGTGACACATTGAGTTATGGCCGCCGCTGGGCCCCGGCGGTCGGCAAGTCCACGGGGGGTTCGCCAGTCCGCGCTTTTCGACGGGGTCCTCGCTTCCGAAACCCAATCCGCGATTCTTCATGGCCTCGTGGCGCGAGAGGGGGGCGCCTAAAGAGCCCCCATTTGGAGTCACCCTGCCGCGCCGCCGCAAGACGTGCGCTGTGTTATACTGCCCTGGCCCGTTCACCGTCGAGTGTGAAGGCGGCATAGAAACCTGTTCACTGGTTGCGCATCAACGCGGTCGTTGCGCACGGCGGACGCTGTCGCCGACGCGGCGGCCAGAGCTGTGTCAATGGCAAGCGCGCAGCCCAGCAGTGGCGTAGCCAGGGTGAAGGAAAGGGGGGGGGGGGGTTCAAACCCCCCACCAAAATTTTTCGTGCGACCCCCCCCCCTCCCCTTCGCCCGGCCATGTACCCACCGCTCTTTTTTTCTTCGTGACTTCGCGCTGACACGATTTAGAAACTAAGCGGTGCTACTATCACAATATCGTTCTTGGGCACTTTTAGAGTGAATAATGTCTGCATACGGAAAAGCGTGTCGTGGTGTTCGTCAAGGCTTTGATACTCCGAGATTTTGGGTAGGATTCACGGTCGCGAGCGTTTTAAGTTGGCTCGGCGACGGGATTAATGCTGCAGCGGGATTAATTAATGCTTGCCTTAGCTTTGCCCTAACTGCCTTAACTGAACTTGCCTTAACTGACATGTGTGCTAAAAAGGCACACATGTCTTGCTCCTTCCTGATCTTTAAATACACCAGCAGCCAGGAAAAGATTTCTTGCCAGTGAGGTTGGAACTTCAGTTTCCGCTGAATAACTGAGGAAACGCTGTAGTTAGCGCCTGGTTTCCATGTCATTAGCAAACGTCGTCTATAGTCTCGTCTTGTTGCAAATCCTGGCGTCTTGGCCCATTAAACACGCAAAGAACAATGCCGTTGTCGGGAATCATGGCTTCCGTGCATGCATAATCTCCGATCGGTTTTCAGGAGTTCTTTCGGCACCTGAGTCGTATTCAGGCAGCGCAGAACTACAGCTGGGAACTGTTTCTTTGGTTCCTGTAGCTTTTTTGCCAGTTGTCGAGTCGGCACTGGGAGAAGCGTTGCCTTTCGTGAAATAATCATTAAACGTTAACTTACGGCATTTTGGCGGTGTCATCGAGTCTCATAAAAAGACGCAGACTGACACAGAGCACGAACTACCTAGCAATACGTGTAGGTGGTGCATTTTAAAGGGGTGACTTCGCATTTATAGGAAGCAACGTGCTCAGCAAAGTTCAGGCAGTGACACTGAATGCGAGGAACGAGAACTTCACCGATTATACATGTCGGTTGATAAAGTTCTGCCTCGACTACTAGCGCTTGTTTCTCCCCTGGTGGAAATATTCGTGGGTATACATTTTCCCCGCTTCCCTTCAGGGGCTGGTAAGGTCACCCTTGTCCAGTATATTACAGCAACGTGCTCAGCAAAGTTCAGGCAGTGACACTGAATGCGAGGAACGAGAGCTGTACCGATGATACATGTCGGTTGATAAAGTTCCGCCTCAAACACTAGCGCTCGTTTCTCCCCTGGCGGAAGTATTCGTGGCTATACATTTTCCCCGCTTCCCTTCAGGGGCTGGTAAGGTCACGCTCGTCCAGTATATTACTCTCTGCTCGAAACGTCTCGCGTTTGTGACTGCGCTCCTACGGAAGGCTGGTAGTTTCTTTTGCATTGGGATCCAATACCAGAAACGTGAATGAACGCGAAGGAATCAATGCTAGCATGTGAAATTCCCGTGACTCGCATCAGAACCGACAGGCACAGATGGTGCACAGTAGCCTAAGTAAACTCGTGCTGCATGCGCTGGCAGTTTTCGTCGGAGTTCACGCGTTCTCAGAAATTGAATATGGTGCACTGTGATCTGAACAAGACCTGAGTTCGTTCCTTCATCACTGGTAAACCGATCACTCGGAATTTGGTGTGGTGGGAAGCTGCTCTTGTTCACGCCACTGTAAGTGCTTCAAACACGAATGGGCGTACTGGTTAGAACAGTGTATACATATATGTATGCTGCGCGGTGAAATATTCTGTACAGTTCTGAATCTGATGACGGAAAGAAAAATGACGGCTGCAAGTTTGCAAACAATAGAAGACACCTTGCCGCAACACTATCGTTTTAGGAAGAAGAGCGACGAAAGCTATGAAAAAAAAAATCGAGAACATTACGCGTCTTTGCGCATATTTAAGTTCCCTATAGCGCATATACGCAACATAGATGCAGCAAACCAGCTATTTCTATATGAGTAGGCGTAGTCCGGTCCCAGCTGCATTTTCGATTGAGACCAAGTGAACATTTCTCAAGAACGACTACTTTGCCCTCGCTCATTGCGGAATAGAACCCCTCTACGATTCGAGTACTTCATTGCTATCAAAAGTCACAGTGCAACTGTAATGTCAACCAAGGTTGCGAGGAAGTCTGCCCAAAAGATAACGTGAGGGAAATCTTGTTGCCAACGTGCAGCATAACTTATGACAAAAAAAAATACTTATTGCGTATCGCAAGCATGCTTCAACGCGCGCATGCAGTACGGAAAATAAAAAAAAAGATGTTCACTAAAAGCTATAACTGTGACCAGGTCTGCTTGACATATGGAGCCTAACATTAAAAAAATCATTCCCATAGGCATGCAGTCACAAGCATCGTCAGTAAGAAATTCGCTCAGCATAATAAGCGAAACCAAAATGCAATTGTGGATGTACAAAAACATTCTGCGTGTCCCTCTCATTCCACTTTGTGAGCGGAGTCGTCCTTGACTTCTGAAACGCACCTCGACTCGACGAGGACGCCATCTATGCTTAACAGAGATTGACGATGTCTTCTCAGATCGGGCGGGTCGTCGCAATGATGCGTTTTCTAAGACTAGTTCATTCAATGGCGCCGTTGATTCAGAGGCCATTCAGAGGCCGTTGATTCAAATGGCCACTGTACCTGTCGTTTACTCCTTCCTTATGCGATTACTTCACAGTTACATACTCTCTTCGCAAGCATACGCATAAGGAAGGGGGGAATCTCATCACTTTCACATACATGTACACAATCTGCTCAAACTACCGCCGATAGTCACGTCAGAGAGGAAAGCTGATGCCGCCCCTGCAGCCCTGGCCTTCCTATGGACAGATGAACATTCGTTACGACCAAACTTGACTACAGTAGGAGTCACATTGACTGATAAAACACATTGGTCGACTTGTACTACTGGAAGCGCCTTGAACAGAGGCATGCCTGTGGGGTTAGAGATCAAGTCTGCATGTGTCGTGCCCTCCTTTTTGCACCAGTTGTGTGTGCCCTGTTTACCCACCACAGCGGAACCTATTAGCACATATCCGCACGTCGCCTAATTTCTGTTAACGGCATATCCCGTTTCACTTTACGTACATTCTTGCGTGCCTCTTGTTTTTAGATACCGTGCGGGCTCTCCTTAGGGCGGCCTTTGCCAATAAAAGTCAATTTCCCGTGCCACGAATCCGATTTAGTTGTTATGTTTTCTCGGACGTGCTTTAGCTATAGTGTTAGGCTTTCGGCTCCCACTTTCTCGGAATTACTAATTGCTCAATGTCTCCGAACGACCGACAAATGAAGGAAGCCCATTTCATTTGATCCGTCATCTACTCACCGGCCTTGTATAGCCGCTCTCCTAGTTGATTACCTGCTGACTAGCCGGTCAATGAACAGCCGATTTGTAGGCGCAAAGCTCGTTAGCATATGTGAGCAGCCTTCGCTTCAACCCGGCTTAATTGGTGAGTAGCACGTTGAACGGCATCGCAGTCATAGAGTTTCTCAAAATTAACTAGAGGGCACTCTGGCGCTGCGATCGTTCAGCGACCATGGGAATGATGGGTAGTACACACATTTGCCATGTACACACATGGGTAGTTTACACACGCCGCCCGCAAGTCTTCGTACTTGCGGGCGGCGAATCGTACTTGCGGCTTTGTTTATTACTGGTTACGGTTTTGTTTTGAAAGAAAGAACAAATTCTTTTGAACTTAGGGACTTGATTCGAAATAGTAAGCTTAAATGAATAAGGTTGTGAAGCGCAAACGGTGAACATTTGCTAATTTATGTTTTCGTGAAGAAAAAAAACAGCTCCAAGCCACACGAACACACACGAAGCCAGAAGCAGGCCAGAAGTTCGAAAATTAGACAAATGTGTGTACTACCCATCATTCCCATGCTCGTTGAAGCGCCGTGTGTTGCAACTCCCATTGACACTAGCGCCAGAGTTCTCTCTAGTAAGTATTGTGGGAAACTATGATCGCAGTGGTCGTGCACAACGGTTTTTCAGAGCCGCGCATGCGTAAGTAAGGTACCAGGTGCTCACATTGTGGACACCGCGACTCCCCATAAAAAATGGACAGATTAATCTTTATCACTAAACGAGAGCCTTTAATTTTTCATCAAACACAAAAATGGACCGTCGGCGTCCCTCGGCCTCAACGCGAGCGATGTAAAAGATCATCCCGTGATGACGTAAGCTTGACGTCACTAATAAACGATTTTTGGGACGTCACCTAATGACCTAAAAAATGGCATCGTCACTTTCAGAGATGGGCCGATCACAGAGGCAGTGCAGAAGCTGGTAAGGTGCAGAAAGCATGCAGTGCCTCCGAAACAGTGATCCGAGAGGGACGTGCAGTGCAGAGGCACACACGTGGTGGTTCCTTAGCTTCATACAAGTAACCCTCGCTTTTTGATGTTACGCGTTTATACCATGTACGACACAACGCATGGAAACATTACATTCGAGCGCAGCCTGATGACTATCTTTTCTGTAAGGCAAGCAAGCTGCAGAGAGAAGCAGCTTGCTAATGGAATGGGGAGTACAAATACTCAAGGTTACCACATCGTCCACATTGTATGTACATGCGCGGTGAAAAAAGAAAAACAGTTAGCGAGCAGACAGATAGATAATTGAAAGAACTGTAGTAATGTCCAATAGGTTGCGCTAGTGTCTGACAAGGTGAAATTATAGACGTAGCTCGAACACATAATTATTCGGAGATTAAGTGTACAAAAGCTTCACATTCATTCTCTTGTGCTTTACCTACAACATTACTAAATGAAACTATTTGAGGTGTATGCTGAATCAGAACTTTGCATGTTCCCTTTTAACAATATTTTAGACGCAAACAGCCTCGATTTTTTTTCCCTGTTGCGCAGCAGCAATGTTCGATCCGCTTGGAGGACATTGATTATGTTTTCGAGTGGACTGCCTCGGTGTTTTACTTTAGACGTGATGTGCAAACAGAGTGGAAGATCAGGAACAGAAGAAACATTTTTGTACTCCCGTTCTTTCTGCTTGCGCATCACGTCTCAATTGTGAACCAAGAAGTCTGCACGGAAGTTTGGCCTCGGCGATGTACTGTGGGCGTGCATGTAGAAGAAGGCGTGTTCCAAACTTTACCCACGTACCAGCCTGCCGGCTTCGTTGTTGTGCAGGTTGATGACGAAGCGCAGGTCCCTCCCCCTCTCGGCGGCGTCGACGAAGGCTCGCGCGAACTTGTAGCCGAAGTGCACGTTGTCCGAGCAGCCGCCCCACTGCCAGTCGAGCCCCGAGGGAGGACCCCGCTGCCGGTAGTCGCAGGTGCAGGTGTCGATGGCGCCCTCGCTGCACGCCCGAGACACGGCGTGCGCCACGCCCGCGCTCGTCACCGCGTACACGAACGCCGTCTCGCGGCAGCCTGCGAAAGCAGACGCACTGAAAACGCTGCGGCACCTACAAACACGGAGCACTGCACAGTAATCGACATGCTCGCCATGCTTACGCCGTGGGTCCGCCTAACTTCACTCAACGTTCACTTCATTGGCCTTGGTGTTGCTTTGAACCGTGCGTACAACCAAAGCGCCTGTGCATTGCTTCTTTTATATATGGATTGTTTTTTGCTTTGCATGAGTGTAAGAGGATATTGGTCTACTCAGGTCAAAGAGAGAGGGTGTGTGTGTGAGGGGGGTTCTGGCTACGCCCCGGCAAGATGATATAAATATGTGCACTTGAAATTCTGTAGGTAAATAAAAGAAATAAATGTCTTCCTGTGCCGTTTTCTTGGAGAATTTTCAGAACGCTGTGTTGAAAGTGCCAAACCAGTCCAGTCCAGTGCCAAACCAGCGAAAGTTTATATATATATTGACATGTCGCCTTAGAAGACGACATTAACGAAGTGCGCGCGGGGCACTGGCGCTGTGGCACGAGCGCGAGCCTGGCGTCGAACGCTGGCCAGGAGTGACTCCAACGCCTGGGCTACGCTTTTGAACTTGTTCACGTTTCCAGTCCTTTAATAAATCGTCTACAGTCACAAGCGGCTGTACAGACGTAACAGTTGGCGACGAGGAAGACTGGATCGACTCATCGGCACTCCACCGACGTCAAGGAAATAACATGGCGACGCCCGACTTCGGTCGGCTACCCGAATTCAGCGGCAGCCCCAGCTCCTGGAGATCCTGGTATGGGAGGCTACAGTTCTTCTTCGAGGCTAACGAGATTACGGACGCATCGAAGAAACGTGCTCATCTGCTAACGCTGTGCGGGGAACAGACTTATGACATCGTCTGCGCCCTCGTTCAACCCAAGCAGCCCAACCAAGTGAGCTACGAGGACATAGTCAAGATGCTCAAGGCTCACTTCGATCCACAACCGTCTGAGGTCTTCTGCAGGGCACGATTCCAGCGACGTGACCAAAAGCACGACGAAACGGTCAGTGATTACGTCACGGCGCTCAAGAAGCTAGCAGCAGATTGCAATTTCGGGACAAGCGCAGACACTGCAGCGAATCCGACAATGCTGCCTATGGACGTCATGCTGCGTGATCGTTTCGTTTGCGGTCTTCGGAACGAGCAGGTCCAGCAACGGCTCTTCGCAGAAAAGGACTTGACGTTCAAGAAAGCTTTCGACCTTGCACTGCGAGCTGAAAACGCCATCGAAGACCAGAAACGCGTGAAAACCGAATTTAAAGAGTTTCACGAATCCTGCATAAGCACATGCAAGATAGACAACCAAGGTCACTCTAGTGCCTCTGCCCAAAAGAAGAAACAACGCTGTTGGCGTTGTAACGCGCTACATAATCCGGACACTTGCAAGTTCCAGACAGTCTCCTGCAACTACTGCAAGAAACGCGGACACATTGAAAAAGCCTGTCTGAAAAAGCGGAAAGAAGCAAAAACGAGCAACAGCATCGAATATCCCCAACAAGGAACTTCGACAGCTGCCTCAGCACCAGTGTCGACTCAGCAGGACTCATCAGACGTGGCCCTTTACGAGCTCAACACCGTAACCAACGCGTTCAGCACACAGAAGGTCATGACTCGGCTACGCGTACATGGCAAGTTCTTGGATTTTGAAGTCGACTCGGGTGCAGCCTGCACACTCATCAGTGAGGTCACGTTCAAAGCTACGTGGACAGATGATCGACCACGGCTTCAGACCGACAACATGCTCCTACGCACATGGTCAGGACAGTCTCTTCGAGTTCTCGGATGTGCAACGGTGATTGTTACGCACGGAAACAAAACCATGACACTACCACTTGTTGTCATCAAGGGAGCAGGTTGTAACCTCCTTGGACGAAACTGGTTTCCTCACCTGGGTATACAGATCACGGGCATCAATGATGTATCCGGCGATGAACTTGTTTCGAAGCTTCTCGACAAGTACCAATCTGTATTCGACGAGGACATATCAGGACACATCGGTCCAGCGGTACAACTAGACCTCGTGGAAGGAGCGAAACCAAAGTTCCTAAAAGCACGGCCGGTTCCTTTCGCGCTCCGGTCAGCTGTAGAAGCAGAATTGGATCGACTGCAAAGTCAAGGCATAATCGAGCCAGCACAGCATTCGGATTGGGCAACGCCTCTCGTACTGGTTCGAAAGAAGAATGGCTCGTTGCGAATATGCGGCGACTACCGTTGCACAGTGAACCAGGTATCAAAGAAGGCAGACTACCCACTTCCCTCAACTGATGAAGTGCTCAGCCACTTGAGGGGAGGCAAGGTCTTCAGCACCCTGGATTTAGCACAAGCGTACCAGCAACTTCACGTGACGCCAGAGACAGCAGAGATATTGACCCTGAACACGCTGAAGGGACTATACAGGGTCAAGAGATTGCCTTTCGGAATTTCTGCAGCCCCAGCCATTTTTCAACGTTTTATGGAGACAATGCTGTCAGGCATCACAGGCGTGTGCGCATACCTAGATGACGTGATCATCAGTGGGAAAGACGCCACGGAACACGCCGAGAGACTGGAAGAAGTGCTGAAGAGGCTACGAAACTACAATCTGCGCCTCGGAAAAAACAAGTGCTGCTTTGCGGTGCGACAAGTTTTCTTTCTGGGACACCGAATCGACGAGACAGGCGTCCACACAAACGAAGAGAAAGTTCGAGCCATAACGGACGCTCCAGCACCAAACTGCAAACAAGCGCTTCAATCATTTCTCGGAATGCTGGCTTTCTACGACAGATTCTTGAAGAACAGGGCAACAGTTGCCAGCTGCCTATACCAGCTTCTTCAGAAGGACGCCACGTGGAGATGGGAGACAAAGCATCAAGAAGCCTTTGACAAGCTTAAGGCATTGCTGCTCAGTCAGACCGTACTGGCACACTACGACGAACAGAAGGAGCTTCTTGTCTCTTGTGATGCTTCACCATATGGCATAGGAGCTGTTCTGTCTCAACGTGATGACCAGAATAGAGAGGCGCCAATCGCTTTTGCATCTCGGACGCTAGGGCCGGCAGAACGCAAATATGCTCAATTGGACAGAGAAGGCCTTGCTGTGGTGTTTGCAGCCCACAAGTTCCACAAGTATATTGCGGGAAGAAAGGTGACTTTCGTCACTGACCACCAACCACTGCTCGGCATACTGGGTCCACAAAAGCCAACGGCTCAAGTCCTTTCTCCACGGATGATCAGATGGTGCATCAAGTTATCGGCGTATGACTACAGCATAATCTACAGGCGTGGCAAGAACCATCAAAACGCGGATGCGTTGAGCCGTTTGCCATTACAAGAACGTCTCGATGAACCCTGGCCTCCAGGTGACGTACTATTGTTCGAAGCGTTATCGAGACCTCCGTTGACTGCTGCCGAGATAGCACGCCTGACACAACAAGACAGCATCATGCAGAGGTTGTACAAGGCAGTGCAGGATGGTACAGTGGAGAAACTCACTGGAGATGAGTTTGCTCCTTACCGACGACGAGCGACCGCACTAGCACTACAGCGCGAGTGCATCACACTTGGATCCCGAGTGATCATACCGAGCTCAGCACGATCCCGTGTTCTGGCACTTCTGCATGCGGGTCACAGAGGCATGGTAGCCATGAAGAAGTGCGCAAGGAGCTACGTATGGTGGCCCGGAATGGACAAGGTGATCGAGGAAACGGTGCGACAGTGCCGTGAATGCCAAGCAACGCAAAAGAGCCCACCCAAAGCTCCTATTCCTACGTGGGACCGTCCCCAGACAGCATGGAACACGGTGCACGTTGACTTCGCGGGGCCACTACTCGGACGCACCTACTTAGTTGTTGTGGACGCATACACAAAGTGGGTGGAAGTCCGGCACGTGACACAAGCAACATCCGCGGCTGTAATCGACGTGCTCCGAAGCCTCTTTGCAACGTTCGGCATTCCCCGAAAGGTCATCTCCGACAACGGAAAAGCATTCATCTCCAACGAGATCAAGCAGTTCTATGCGTCGAACGGCATACAGGCTGCAACCTCACCAGCATATCATCCGGCAACAAACGGCCAGGCAGAACGCTATGTGGCGGAGCTGAAAAGAGCGCTGTTGAAAGATGCAGACAAGTCCATACAGTGCCGACTTGCAAGATTTCTGTATCGGCAGCACACGACAATACACACTACCACAGGTATGACACCGGCGAGAGCGATGTTCGGACGAGAATTGCTCTGCCCTCTCGATCTTCTTAAGCGGGAGACGGATAAGCGAAGTCCTGAGAGCCAGGAGGCATTGCAAAAATCACGCCGCTTCGCTATAGGCGATAGAGTGCTTATCCGGCAGTTTTTGAAAAAGCCAGATTGGATTGAAGGCGAAATACTGCGCCGCGTCGGACCACGATCCTGGCTTGTAAAAAGCGACCAAGGAAAGGTTCGGCGTCACCTCAATCACATGAGGAAAACGAGTCAGACCAGACAAACAACCCAATCGCGGACAGATTGGAGCGCAGCTGACGATCTCTTGGACGCAACGCCAGAAGAGACGCCATCGAGCTCAGCTGCTCAACCGCCTGAATCGCCCGAGATGCAAGATCACACTCCCTCGCAACCGTCGACGTCACAGGCAGTGGCCACTCGGCAACTGCGACCACCAGAGGTTAGGCGACCTCCAGACCGCTATGGAGACTTCGTCTAAGGGAGGAAGAGTGACATGTCGCCTTAGAAGACGACATTAACGAAGTGCGCGCGGGGCACTGGCGCTGTGGCACGAGCGCGAGCCTGGCGTCGAACGCTGGCCAGGAGTGACTCCAACGCCTGGGCTACGCTTTTGAACTTGTTCACGTTTCCAGTCCTTTAATAAATCGTCTACAGTCACAAGCGGCTGTACAGACGTAACATATATATATATATATATATATATATATATATATATAGTATAAGGGCAAGACGTGTATACCTAAAGGCTCGTTTTTCTGTGTTTTGACACCATGATAATGAAATCTAACAGACTCCT